TGCATAAGCCACAAGTGCCTCCCCTCTCTCTCATATATATGAGAGAATGAGAAAAAGTTACACAAAGAGAAGTAACACATGACATGATGATTGGTTAAGGTATGAAAATGCATTGTTCATTTTTGTATGTCCACATTGTTTATATCTACAAATGCTCTATATTGAGTGCTCTTCTTCCAGATTATATATATATATAAGTACTGCCAAAGGTTCACTAAAAGGAGCATACATGATGAAAAAATGCTCCAAACTTAATAGAAACAAAGTTTTAATCATCAAAATCTTTGTTACTATTAAGAGGAAAGACCAATGGAATTTTTTATAATTGTATTTTTTTTTTTTTTTAAATCCTTTTAGAACCTTCAAAATTTTGTTTCTCTTGAATCAGCAGGTGAACATAAAGTATTATGGGAAATTTTAGCATCTTTTTGCAGTGAAAAACACCGATTTGGAAATTCTTGGATTTTAATGAAACTGTCAGGATTTATTCACAAATGAATTAAATTATTTTTGAAACATTTCTTTTTAGAAAATTTTGATAGAAAAAAAAATTTAACACCTGTTAACCCCCACACACATACATTTATTTAATTTTACAAAATTTTAAATTCATTTTTGTAGCATTTAATGTTTATATTAGTTATAAGCTTAACACCTTTGAGAATTTAAATCAGTTTTTTCTTTGTAAAACAAACTCCAGTTAGAGAAAAAATTTGCTCTGAATCATAAAATAAATAATACTATAAAACTAAAATATTTAATTAAAAAACTTAACTGCTTTTATGAATAAGATATATTATGGACAGTATTGTCTTAAGAAATTCTTTTTTTGATAAATAATGAATTTTTACAAAAATTGTTGCCATTTTTGTCAAAATTTTAAATCTTTTAAAATTCGCTATTAATTTGTAGCAGTTGGGTAATAAGTAAAAACTATATTTACTAATCATAAATGGAAAAGCTCACTACAGTTCAACAACCCCAGTATTTTTAAAAAGAATTGAATTGTGTGTGTGTGTATAAACATGCCAATTTTTGTAAATACAGACATCTATACAGGACATTATGAAAAATAAGAACAGTAATTATAGTAAATTTAAAATTTATTAGTAATTTTCTAACATTTCTTCAACAAGTGTCTTCATAAGTAAGATAAAGTCAAATTCAATAAAACATTAAATTACTTAGAATATTTTCCTCAATTTTTAAGATTACTAGGTAGTTAAAAAATATATGTAAAAATAGTGTTTATGTTATATTCGTCAAGTAATTTTTACAGTTATTTCTCCCCATAGAAAATTTCCCAAACATAATGATAGAGATAATAATTCCCAATACCTCATGAAAACCACCACCTACATGTTAAAAATACTTTTCTGTGATATTTTAAAGTAAACTAAAAGTAATATTTCAAATCACATTTAAACTTTAAATCAGCTAATCTTCCTCAAATAAAGTTTCAGAAAAGTATATTTTATTTTTGAAAGATTCTTTAAAGACTGATGAGTAGACTGACAGATTCGCTAATGGCCGATTTACTACTTAAATTAAATTCAGTTTCAAATACAGTAAGTAAAAAGTATTTTGCTTAAAGTTTAAGCAAAATACTTTTTAGTTTTTACTTAATTTTTTTACTTTCAAGCTAAATTTAATATTTCGTTTAAGCCTTAAACAAAATATTAAATTTAGCTTGGAATTAAAAGTAAAACTAAAAGAAAAAGCTTCATGAAAGATTTTTTTTATTTTTAAACCTTCCAATCGCTTTTCTTTGGAGGTACCTAATTAGATTGGCTTTCAAGTTTCAATTAATGTACTTGTTTGTTTTTTCTTCTTTGCGTCATAAACTTTCAAAAAGGTAAAATCAGTATTGAATAAGATTTTTATTTATAAACTGCATAAAAAACTAAAATGAAATATACCACATTAATCATCATGGCAATCTGACATTTTTAATTTTATACAAAAAGTTTGATTATATTTTTTTTTTTAACCATTTACACTTCCTACAGAGGTGGTTAATTCTACTGTGTTTTGAGATTCTTCTTTTCAAGAATCACAAATGAGAGAAAAGTCAAAAGAACTACTGTCACCAGTTTTTTTACCTTTCTCCACCACACCCACTCAAAATGCAAATACCAACGTATGAAGCAAATCAAATTATTAAAAATCTCTCTTCTGCTGTTGATTAATTAACTTGGAAAATCTTCAATTTTTCATGAATATTAAAATCTTTTTAACGGTATTTTGTTTTGCACATTGGATCATTTTTAATTCATATCAACTCATTTGTTTTCACTTTCAGTCAGTATCTTGTAATTGTATTCACACTGAACCAAAATGTTAGACACAGCTACATCTAAAAAACAAGTCTTTCAAAACACTGGCATTTGTGTGTGTGTGTGTATATATATATATATATATATATATATATATAATTTCCCGTGTAGACATATGCCGAGATCAAGTTTTTAATGAAAACTACAAGTGAAGCTTAATTTCTAGGCAATATTTTCTTTCTCTAACTAAACATTGCATTGCAACATACAAAACAAAATTATTTGCAGCGTTAGTGGTTTAGCTTTAGCATTTTTTAGGTTAATTTGAATTAAAGATCTCTAGAAAGTCAATTGAATTATAAAACTAAAACATCATATGGTTACATCACTAAATGATTACAATTTGAAATTAATTAAGGGACAGAGAAAGTAGAATGCGTTTGATAAGAATAAAATTAAAAAAAAAAAAAACTCACACGAGACTTGTATTCTTTTTTTATCGCATGTTGTTTGTTTTTAATCTGTGGACCGAAGACCACCAACAGAAGTTTCTCAGAAGTCATTGCTAGTAAAAATTAGTGACAAGAAAGTAAAATTTGACAAGTAGTAAGTTGTAAAAAAATATTTTAGCAAAATAACTTCATGGTCGAATAATCAGTAAAAATTTTCAATTGCGCATAGATCATTTTTATTAGGTTGAATTGAAATTGTTAAAAAATAAAAATAATTGATGCCATGATTAAACAACAATAATAAATAACAATATCAATTCAAATAACTAAAGAAAAAGTGTAGATTTTTTTTGTTACTACAAGTTATGATTTTCCTCTCACGAGCTTCTCATACAAAAAAAAAAAAAAAAAACTACCAAAATTCAACAAAACAGGCAGTAAAAAAAAAAAATAGTTTTTAAACATTATAGGATTTTCTTTTTTTATATTGATCTTCAAATAATAATTTTAAGTTAAAAATAATCATACGACAGTTTCTTCAAGATCAATCTGAATTTATTATGCATGGATTTCCCTTTCCAAACTCAATAACATTCCAATTAAAACTTTCAAAATAGTTATCTTTTTAAGGTTCTTACAACACATTTCTATACGTTGTTTAAATTTAAGCAAAAATGACAATTTAGAGAATTACTCAGGTTATTAAAACAAATATTTTAATAAGAGGTGAGTTTATTTCTAAAATATGGAAATAAAAACTTATTTAAAAAAAAGTTTAAAACTATTATTCGAATATTTGAAACGTATGGAGCAAAAGAAAAAGCATTCAAGCGAATAGCATGTTTGCATTCATTATAGAAATAGCTTAGTAGTTGAAGACAGCAGAAGTTTGTTAGATGAAAATAAAAACTAGATAAAAAAAAACAACTGAAGCAGACGTGGAACAGGTACAAATAGGGGAAGACAGGACAAAACAAATTACAAAAGCTTTGTTTTTCCTAAAGAAATGAGGATGTAGAGAACTTTTAAAACAGATGGGAAACTTTTGCTAACAACTGAGAAATGTTTATGTAACAAGAATATTTAAAGTGATAAAGACTGTATAGCTGCTGCGATAGAAAATATTCGTTAAGCATTAATTGGTGTAAATACGCAAGATAAACTTAATTGTGTATCTGTGTAGTACATACCCACAAAAAAAAGTAACACATACTGAAAGAAAAACAACGAATAGGGTGGCTGTGAGGAAAAAAATAAAGTTTAAACTTTTTGTATAACACTTAAATCTAAAAACTGAATCATTCTATCTATAAATGTTATTAAATTAATCATAATGCAACGAAAAAAAAAAAAACAAAAAAAAAACACATTTTTAAGTAACAGACAAGAAGCACCATTAACCTTTATTCGTAAAAGCTAAAAGTAAAACAGTCGATCTAGTTTTCAATACTTAGGATAAAAACTAAATGGATTTTTTTTTTTTTTACATAAAAAAAATTCAATTTATTAATATCAAAAACAAAACAAAAAAGAAACAAGGAATGGCAAATATTTTCTTAACTTATAGCCATAAAAATGGGGGATCATAACGTAGTCTGGTACTGGTAGTCATACCAAGGCGAAGCCATGGTAGAGTCAATATCGAAAAAAACAAAAAAAAAAAACTGCTTTTTCATAAAAAAAAAAAAAAAAAAAAAAAAAATCAAACTGACAAAAATCTTGAAATTTTAATAACAAGTCTTGAAATAAATTAAACGGAATGTGTAACTCTAAAGTATAATTATGTAAACAAAATTACAAGAATACTGTAGTTAATAGCGATTAACCTTTGACCTTAATATGGCTGCATTGATTAAATAAAAAAATGTTACTGATGATGAGCCGTAACAGTAAAACTCAATAACACAAGAGAGTGGATCCTAAAAATAAAGTCACCTCCCTGCATGGATTATTTTTCTTTGCATTTGTTGTTTATTAACACGCAACTTAAATGAATAGATTGAATTACAAGCAGGAAACACCAAGAAAAGTAATCGGTAAAAACGTAAACATGAAATGCCAAAATTTCGTTTCTTTTCGTTGTTTTGTTTTTCAGTAGTAAATCAAGTGTAAACGGGTCAGTAAAAAATAGATTTTAGTTTAGTAGATGATATCTCAAAATGTGTAAAAGTCTAAATTTTTTGCTAAAATGAAAGACTTACGTCGAGAAAGGCAACAAAAATGCTTTGAATTTTAGTAATTAAGGGGGAACAGGTAACAAAAAAGTACTGACCAGTTGTTCATATCCAAGAAGAAAGCACATTCAGTAGCATCGAGTTGGTCTCCAAGTAATTTTTGAAATTCACCAACAAGAACTTCTTTATCGGTAGTACCCATTGAACTAAATTGTTGCAAGAGTTTACCATCCAGTTCATTTTCTTCGTCCCCCATTTTTTAAAGTATTTTTTTCTCTAATAAATATTTAGTTCAATTTGGAGATTTTCCCCAATTTTTTTTACGTTGTTAATGTTATTGTTGTCTTTTTATCTTATTTTCTTGTTTACCTTTTCCCCCCCACTGTAAAAACGATTACAGCAAGTCGTCTTTTTGACCGTTGTTTTTGTTAATTCTAAAAAAGATGCCAGATTGTCTTTTTTGTTTGTTTATTTTACAATAAAACACTCAATATTTTTGTTAGTGTTTTGGTTTTAAATTCACAGCATCCTCCAGCTTTTTAGATTCTAATTTCAGAGGCAAATTAACCTATCCATTTCAACTCAATGTTACAAATACAATTAAAAAAAGTAACATACAAACAAATATACTAGACATACATTTGTTTTGCAGCCTAGAAAAAACATTCAACGTGTGATATTTCTCAGTGTCGCGTTTTCCGTTCGAATCAAAAAGGTGTACGTTTAACATTTCCTTTTTTTTTCAACTACTCCTTTTTAAAGTCACTCTCAATTTTTTTAAATCATAGGCCACTGTTGAATTTACTTCTTGGTGTCCATCTTCTTATTATTTGTCATTGGTGTCCTCAACTTGGGAGTCCACGTTATTTGTATTTATTTACAGACAGCGGTGACTGATTCTTGTTTGTTGTTCGTCCATTTCTCTCACCCCGAAACGCGTGCTCTGACTTGGTGACGTCACAAAACTTTGCGGCGCATGCTCCAATTTCATGAGTTACTTCCCTTAAAGTTAAAGGCTGCAGAGTTAATTCCTTAATACCTAAGTATTACATAATTCGTATAGGTTCACATTTGCTATAAATAAAATGCCTATATAAGAGTATCGGTGGAAGTAACTTTGTTATTTTTTTCATGTGTACTATACATTTATTTGTTTATAGAAAAAAGATTTGTTTTATTTTGATAAATTATTTACTGGACAGACTTAAGTTTGAAACAAAATATATATATATACATTTCTAGAGACCCCAGTGAGAACTGAATTTACCATCCAAAATTTGCAAAAGTTTAACATGATTTCTTTTGCTTCCACTATTTCTCAATTTTATTTACAAATAAATGCATATATACAGCCAATAATGTATATTCCTGAGAAGCAAGATACATATTACTTACCCTATAAAAAATCTTCTGTACAAAATTAAAAATATCTTTATTCATTAAGTTTAATGTATTAATTATTTTATTTGTATGATAGAGCATTTTAGGTGTAGAATTGGTGAAAAGTGAACATTAGCTTACAAGTTTCAAGTGTTCATTACAATTGAAAATCTGTAAAATTCAATTTGCAATAATCTCTTTCCACAATAAAATGATATGACACTTCCAGATGAAATATAGTGTAAATTTGAGGAAAGGCTAAAGTTAGGCAGTATGCATAGTATACAGCAGTCAGTAGTAATTGTTACTCATTTGGTGAAAGCCAGGTTGTTATGTCGAAGTTGCTAATCATTTTGCTTGCAAACCAAGAAGAATTCAATTCAACTGTTTAAAATGTTAAGTTAAGTATAAAAATTATAAAAGGAAAAGGCTCAAATGATTATCCATACTGGGAGAACTACCAAAAATAACAGTCATTTGTTAAACTGGAAAACACACTAAAAATAATGCTCACTAGAAACCTGAAAGAAAGTATAACTTTGGATGCCATTGAGTATATAAACTGACAAAAGTCCCTGGCACAGCAACTGAAAAAATCCAACAGAAGGAAGTGGAGCACTCACAATCAAAAAAAGAGATATCACTTCTAGCTCAACCTCACTTCTAGACACCCTATCTGGTTGAAAGGACTTTGTTTCAAATATATGATGAATAGCTTTGACTTAGCTTTTTTCCTCTTCAACTGGTCTTTACAAGTTTTTTTGTTCTAAAATATTTCAAAAGGACATTGAAGAACTTTCTACCTACGTAAAAGAACTTTTGGCACAGAAAGGAATATTTGTACAACTTTTTATAAAAACACTTGTTGATTATTCTCTTTCTCAGTTTATATTTGCTTTTTGTGAGATAATTTTTTCATTACTGTATAATTAAAGTTGTTTTTTTTCTTACAGTGCCATTTGCAGGATCATGGAAAATCCCTATATAATATAATATTTTATGTTACACTATATTAATGGCCTCAATATTGACAAACTGACACCTTGCTTGGGCCCAATACCTGTTGGGATCAACTGCATCCTAGATAATTGCTCTCCAGTAGGATTATCTAAAGCTGTTGAAATCTATTATACTTTTGTTTTACAAGCACCTGCATTCCATGTCTATCTTTGTACAGCTTCAAGAGGCTGAGTGTTAAATTCAGTTATCCTTCTCCAAGAGTAGTTACTAACCATCACTAGAAAGCTCTGCTATTTAACCCATAGCTGAAGGAAGAATAGCTGGATTCATATTTTTTCCAAGGGTATTTGTTCAAAAGTGAATGTAATAAACTTGGCTTGGACTTGAACTCAGGTTGTTGATTTCTCATTCCAAGCCACTAACCATTGTGGAATTGACAAATTGCAACATATTCATTCTATTTAGAGGTAACTGTTTATATGAAGACATATTGTAAATAATTTTGCATAACATTATATTCAAAGCATATGATTCCAAAACAAACAATTATTCTCATTTTACTTTAAAAGAGTCATAGTCATTAGGTAAAAAACCAGAAATTGATTGTCAATGAGTAAACTGTCACTGATAATTATTTGAAAGCAATAGTTTATAAATTTGATGTAGTTTTTTTTATTCCATTGAGCTCAGGCAGTATTTGCTTTAGAGCTGTGAAAGAAACCATGTTCAAAATGCTTTGCAGTGCAATAACCACTATCCAACATTATTCTGACATTCAAATCTCTCCTTCTCCAGAACTTGATTTGTCCACTATAGAACAGTTAGCTCTCTTTAAATGGATCTTACTTTTGAGCTTCAGGCTCAGTGCTATCAAAACCTCCTCTTACTTAGTACTAACACAAGAATATTAAATTGTTGGAAAACCAAACAAGTCTGTGTTAGTTTCTATTGTATACTTATTTCAGATTCTCATATTGACTATAAATGTATTGCCTGTAACTTTGAGAAGTGTCTGCTGTTACCATATTGCTATATGCACTAAAATCCTATTTTGATATTGACAAAACCAATGGAATTGGAAACTAAAAACATTTTAAAGATAAAATTAAACTTAAAATAGTAGTAGAGATTAAGAATTTACAAGGCAATTGAAAGTAATAAGCATGTAAATTTACAGATTATAAGACAATATAGTTAAGATTTTAGAAGACTAAAAACAAAAAAGACTAAGTTAGAGAAATTTCAATAAAGTCTTATGACAAAATGTAATCAGAGTGAAGCACACTAAAATATTAATGACTATAAATATAAAGCCTGAAGATAAGTTAAAAAACATTTTTTTATAGATGGATAAGTTGCTACCAGAATCTTTGTTATTCTAAATCCTGTATTACTAAAAAAAAATATGACTTAACAATTCTGCCACAAGATAAGAATTTAGGACTATAAAAGAAAAGGACTAAATTCTCTCTCTCTTTTTGTTTCAAGAAGTAGTAACAACAACAGTAGGACTCTTCCCCTCCAAGGAGACTTTGTTGTTCCCAACCAAGTTACTTAATTTCACACAACCATGTGACACACTCACACTACTGTTAATACCAAAATATTTTTCTTTCTTTTTTTGTGCTATCTGTATACACATAAATATGATTTCCTATTTCTCTTTTTTGTGAGTTATGTTGTTCTTTGTATAGAATATATATGTATAAAAATTCCTTCACATGTTAAAATTCATTTCTTTTGAAAATGCTAAAATTAATTACATTTGAAAATCTTCAACCTCATCTACAACAAGTCACAACTTCTACTGCTACAAACCAGTGACCAACAGCAAGATTGTTCATTACAATCCTATAGCACCTCTAATTATAATACTCTTTCTTTCAATAAAACATTATTAAATTAATTTAAAGATAGATCTTTTTCAGTTAATTTCTACTCAAATAGTATTTATGAATTTATATAAATATTAAGATAGTAAATATATTTTGAATTAGCATCATGTAAAAATGTTAAATAACATTTGCTGATTATGGATACCTCCTGTCTCAATAACTCTCCACCAGACATAGCCTCAAGTTGGTCATCTGTGATTTCTTCAGAAATTTCTATACCAGCCATTTTCTGGACTATTTCTCTGAGTAGCAGAAGATCAAAACTGAAAAATTAAAATAATTAGCAGATAATCAAGAAGTATCAAATGAAATTAAATATAGTTTTTAAAAAATGGGGCTATCCCTAGGTATCTGTTATTCATGTAAATTTATGCCAGTTCAATGCCTTTTGAAATGACTAATAACTCAAAAACCGATACAAAAAAAAAAAAAAATTATCCAAAAAAACTTTTTCATACATTCAATATTCTGAAAACTATACTAAAATACTAAGTTGAAAAATAACTAATTATATTTTTGATGGAACACAGTTATAACTTGTAATGCTTGCTTTCAGTTTTTTGAATAGGATGTCGTTTTTTGGAAAATAAGAAAAGTTGGACATGTTTCATTATCTTAAAATGGTCACATTGAAATAGAATGTAAAGTGCAAATGAATTTGTAGAACCTTTTGTTGGGAAACAATTATAATATTAAATAGCAATTATTACCTCTTCCCTCGATTTCAGCTGGTTAATGCTACATATTGCATGAGACCTGCCAATTCGACTGGTATTTCTACATATATAATCAAAACTTGCTAAGCCTGTGGAAAAAGAAAAAAAATTGAATTTGTTTTATAGATATGAATGAATATGATATATAAATTTCTATATATCAGAACAATGTTAAGCAAATGAATGAAAAATGAGGAAAAAGTCCACTAGACAGACTTTTATTACTTTAACCCAATGAAGTCTTTTTAGAG